TTAAATTATTTTTAGTTCAATCAATTAAAATAATAACGTATGATTTTTTTTCTTTTATTTATTTAGTTATTTATTTTGTTAAAATTTCTTTACTCTGATATATTAAAATATGTGAATAAATCCACATTTAAATTATATGTTTCAAAAATCCTAGTTCAGTATATTCAAAAATCCTATAGTTATGCATGCTAGCAAAATATTGTTATTGTAGAAGCATTTGTTTTTATAAAAGAATGTTTTTAAAATATACCATTCTTTCAACATTGTTTGGCATAAAATTTTTTCTTTAAATAGTTTTTTTTCATAATAATATTCTTAAAACAATTTTTTATGTATATTTTAATTCGACGCTAAATATATATATATATATATATATATATATATATATGTAAAAAATATTCATTTATACGGGTTTTTTTTTCAAAACTACGGTACTGAATATAGTCAACCACTTTAAGAAAAAATTTATGTTCACATATTGAAATCCTCTTAATATTGGACAGTGTCTTTTAATCAGAAAGATGTTAAATCCAGGATATTCGAATTATTCTGTTAAATTTTGTTTTTTCCTCCTAACATTATTTATACAATGCAAATTGTTTTTTTTTTTTTTTTTTTTTTTGTTTAACAAAAAAAAAAAGAATTTGTTAAACAGAAAGAAAGGAAAAAAAAGATGCTCCAAAGCATTTTTCGTTGCCTCGAACATTAAAAAAAACTAACCACCTCACCTTCTTAACTATTTCCTAACTCCTTCATCTATTTACTCTCATTATTCTGAAAATATTATAGCCATACTAGCAGGGTAATGGAAGAGGTCGTAAACACGGTTATTTCTTAGAACCGCTATTGTGGCAACAAAGTGGTATTGCTTATTAGCATAAAACGCTTCTTACCTCCAGATGCTGTGAGCGTAGCAAATACGTATTCCGCCTCCGTGGAGTCTGCGTCATTATGGGCAGCCATTAAAAGATCGTACCACGTGCCTGGATTGAGATCGCTAAGTGTAACTGTTGCTTGAGCTGGGGCAATGTTCGAAGACTGTAAGATCCATTCTTTTTGCAGTTTAGGCTTGTACCGAATCTCAAAATACAGGATAGGACATCCTCCATCATTCCAGGATGAAAGGCGAACAACCACAAATGTTGAATTAATAGCAAGAAGAGCTGTTTTGTCTGGGGCTTGTGGAGCTGTTTGGAATATTTTAAGAACATATTTTTTTAAAAATCTGATGCATTAAGTGGTCAATTATAACAAATGTATAGTTACACATATCATAAGGATAAGGACTCCTTCAATTTATAATAATAATGTATTTAAGCGAGTAAGGACACACTTTACAACAACCATAAGTTTTTAATGTAACTATAACATAAGTATCATGCAATAAGTATTATGATGATAAGTATTATGCAATATGTATTGAGACAGTAAGTATTATTCACCTTTAAAGGCGTTTAAATTATATATACAGTAAGACCCGCTTAACGCGGGGTATACGTTCCATCAAAGTAGAGCGTTATATGAAACAGCGTTAAACGAGGTTATCTCGTCATGTAAATAATGGGGTTAGGGGAAGATGGGTAGAACATTGGCCAGGTACTTTACCATTAAATTTATTAATTACGTGTTTTATAACAATAAAACAAAAATGCATTTCTTACAAATATAGGCACATAATAAATGAATAAACATGTAGAAATAAATAAAATTCTAAATCAGTGCGTTTACATTTCAGATCATACAGTATCTTTTGTATTCCAATTTTCTGACTTTTTATCAAGAAGGCATCTAATGTAATTTGCGTGTTCCTTTTGTGGTCTGTGAGAAGTTGTTGATAAGTGGAAAGGCATCCATAACACACCGTCTTGCCTTTGAACTCCTGTCAAAATTTGCTCCTGCTTTTTCTTGATGCTTTATTTTCATATTTGTTTTTTTTTACTATCACCCATGATAAAAACTAAAAACCATAATATTTGTCACTATAGCAATCGTTATATTATATAAATTTATACTTACAATAACGTTAACAAATGTTTGAAACGATAAAAAAAAGTTCGTATAAGACCGCTGGAAGGAAGAAACACAGGTAAACTGCTTCGGATATCGGGACGCCTACCGCTGTGTGTAATTTCGGGGAATACTACAATTCAAATAAAAGAGCGTTAAACCCAAAATAGTGCTAAACGAAACAGCGTTAAGCGGGGTCTTACTGTATATGCATTTTAACTTTTAAGTGTAGAATCTTATAAATTATAGACGAAAGAGAAACAAAAAATTTATAGAAGAAATATCAGCTTGAACTCTCACTTAATGTAACGGTCTAGCGAAATATAAAAGAAAAAAAAATCTAGTGGTATTTAAATTGATGTGTTGCAAAGTGCTGAAAATAGTCACGTATTAATTTCCAAGCTCTGAATTAAAAATTGAAAAATTAACAATGTAAACCGATTTTTTGTATCTGTTTTCCAAGGGTTTTTGATTTTTATCTAAGAAACTAATCCCAAATGAGATTTATATTTTTTTAAAAATGCGGCAAATAAGATCCAATAAAAACAATTGTACTGCTCATAGCTTTGGAATTCAATTTTGTGCAATGAAGTGAAGTCAAACTTGACTAACAAGATAAGAAATCCAATACTGTCGAGTACTTCAATTATATTCCAATAATTTCGAAAATATTAGCATAGTAATTCCAGTATATGAGTAACTAAAAAGTTGCACTTTCTATTTATTTTTTGTATAACATACTCTATTATGCTGTACTGTATTCCGTATAATTATTGATTATGGTATACTCCATAACCATAATCAATACACGACTTTCTCCAAAATTATTATTACATAAAAGTACAAGAATTTTTTAATTCTAAAGCGATATAACCCAAATTTAATTTGATTATTACAGAATGCAACTTTAATATACTTTATTTTTTGTTCTTTATTTTTAATTTATATACACTTCAGCTTCCTGCTTCTAAAATGCTGAATATATTAGAGTATAGCAATTTCAATATAAATAAAAAACATTACATTTCGATAGTTTTATTGTTCTTACGTATACCGGAATAATCTATAAAAATATTCTAATACTAAAATTGGAATACTGTACGCAAAGAAATATTATTTATTTCATCATAAATTTTATCTGTTTTCGTATTTAAGCATGTTTTACTCATTATGCATGATAACGGAATTATGATAAAATTATTTATGCCTATATTTTTATGGGCAAATTAAAACGTCGAGTTTTAATTTATAAGAAATGTTTCTTCCTTTGTTTTATTTCATTTTAGTACATTAACTATTAGTAATTGATTGATGCTACAGAAAGTCTGAAAATCTCTTAAAAAACAAATAATCAACCTTTGAGTAGTAAAAAAAAAAAAAAAAAAATTAAATATTAAAAAAAAAAAAAATATGCAAAATTATAAATGAAAATATAAAACCCATATAAAGAAACGAATATGAATACTATTGTGTGAAAACACATTGATTAAAGCATAAATCATCGGTATGTGACATAGAAATCAGTAGACGATGAATATGAAAGTGTAAATGAATGAAAACCGTTATGCCTCAAATATATAAGCAACACATATCAAAAAATTCGGCGTATAACGCGCACCTGTACTTTCAAGCTCCAATTTTTAGTTTTGAATTATATTCACCGTATAATTCGAACCCCCTTTTTTTACGAAGAAAACTAAAATATACGTGAGCAATACTCTTTTAATTTGAAGTCATTTATATTCGAGATTTTATTCCAAGCTTAAGGGGGAAAAAATAGTATACTTCTAGAACTATATGCGTTTATGTTCATAAGGAATGACATTTCTTTTAAAGAAACAGTATTCCGATATTTGTAGAAGTCTAATTTTTTTCTATGCTCAACTTTTTTTAATTTTTAAAGCTCTCATTTTTATACCCGGCAAATAACGCTTACTCGTAAATTTCGCTTTTATTTTTTGTGTTAAAAAAATGCGAGTTATACGCCAGATTTTCCGGTAATCAATTTATTAAAATAACCTTTCAGTATTCACACAATAATATACCATTTTACAAATATATTGTGATTAAAATATAGAATAACTTATTATGAATAACTTCTTTAATATAGTTAGTTATTGTTTAATATATTCTAAATTTTTTTATTCATTCATATTGTATGTATAACTTTGACTGATAATAAATCAAAAATCAAGGAAATGTTTAATTTAAGAACATTGTAATAAATTTTAATGATTAAAACGTTTCCTTATTTTCTAAGAATTGTGTTTTTTTTTTCAATATCTTTATTTTGTTATACTATTATTATTTACTTATTTTATTTTTCACAAATTCTTGTTAATGTACTTCTTGGAAAACTGTCAAATAGCACTTTCTCATATGCTTCACACAATAAGAAGAGAAGAAAAAAAAAGAAGTAAAATTGTATAAAACCAGACTTTTTTATTCCCTTATTAAAAATAAAACTTGTCTAACAAGAAATATTCGGCAATGTTGTAGTTTAAAAACTTCCATGCAATTAAAAAATAAATGCACACAAATGTATATAATAGACCTTTTTACATATAAAGAAACCATGTAAACCCAAAAAGATTTACATGACGCAACTAAAAAATATTTCTTTCCTTTTAAATGAAAATAATGCGTTTTAATCAAATTTTAAAGTAAAATTTCCTTAATTTAAATTTTCGTACTAACAATTAACAGATAAAAGAATTTTGTAAGTCAATTCCAACTTAGGTCAACAAAGAAAAATTTAATTTAGTTACTTTTTATCAAATAATTACAATTAATATAAATATGTATATGCATATCACACAATCGCAATACTAAGTGGCAAAATAGAAAGCAATTCTTCTTTCAAAATTCCATTTTCATTTTTATAAACGGTGTCGAACTATTACCTTTGTTTGTTACTATTTATTCATTAATTAAATTTAATTATTCCAATAAAGTAATATTGTAAAAAGAAATCGAATTCTCGAAAATTCGGTCATTCCAGATGGGATTCAAAACCCACGACCTTTGGATCAGAAGTCCAACGCGCTATCTGGACAGCGCTACAGGGACACAATAAGCGATTTTCCTTTTTAGATATGGTGATGAACTATTTTTTATTACTATTTATTCATTAATTAAGTAGAACTAATGAATAAGGATTTGAAAAAACTGTACTAACATCGCCATCCACTACAAGTTTTAAAAAATGTATTTAAACATGAATGGATGAATAAAAAGTATTTTATTAACGATTGAAAATTTGAACAAGAAATATATATATATATATATATATATATATAGCTTAATAAATACTAACGATAATGTTTCTATCATAGAGAGGAATATTTAGAAAAAAAAATTCTATAGAAAAAATTAGGATAAAAACTTACACGCATAAATGCAAACCATAAAGAGATGTGAAGACCAATCATCTTTTGCAGAAATCCCGCGCTAAATGATATATATAGAGAGAGAGAAGGGGAGGGGAAGAGTGTGTGTGAACTAAGAGTAGAAATTGAAAAAACGGAAATGAATGCTCTTGTTTCTCTGAATAAGTTATTTTCGCCAAATATAATATAATTCCTCTGCAAATGTTAATATTAAGATAGTTCTTTTAATGTCTCATAATAATGTAAAAGTTATTATATTACATTCAGCAAACCATTGGATAATTTTCGGCTTACAAATTAAGTGGTAATTCTCTCTATTTAAAATAATAAATTTAAGTTTACAAGTATGAAATATATATTTAAAAATTATATTTTTATTATAAAAATTACTTATTTAAAAAATAGTGATGTTAGAAATAATAAAGAAAAAAAATCTTTTGTGTTCTTTATAAAATTTTGGGGATTTTTTTTTTTATTCGAGTTGAAGACAAAAATATCGCAAAAGCAGAAATAGTTCACATAACTACTTATTCTAGTTTTCAGTTTCATTTTTACGGAATACGTTCATTTTTCTACAATAAAAATGTTTTGAAATACTTGTACGGCACTAGATTAAATCCTTCAAGAATTAAAAAAAGATGAACAAAATTGAATTCATTTCTTCATTAACAAACAAAAAGACGAAACACAAATATAAACAATTTAGTCTCCCGCCTGGTGTTAAGCACCGCTAGCCTTATCTGCGACCGATTCACTTACACGCCCGAAGGTGCCATTGGTCAGCACATATCTCATCTAACCACAGATCGATTGCTTCGTATCAGCGCGATTGGTCATTATACCCACTGACCACGGAGCCGGCTAGCGAGCAGGAAGATTACGTTTCACATCATGTACCAATACCCAAGAAAGGATCACCGTTGATTCTAATGCCCTCACATTACTCTTGAGGTAACACGGAACTGCGGCCCCTTGGCCGCTGTCCTTTGTTTTCAGAACCATTCTTCTTCTTTTATCCGGTCGACCTGTTTGTTTTTAGATCTATTTCGTCCGGTTTTCTTTCGCCCTTAACACCCAACACGTTCAGAGCTGAAGTGGGATGAGATAGAAGCCTCCAGAGGAAGGATAAAAGCCAAAAAACAACTTAATAATTGACGCCAACTGCATTTGGCGAAAGCAAACAAGACAATTTGTAACCCGAAACATTTCGATAGTTCTCACTCAGAATTGCAATAGGTGTCGTCCAGTGCGACAACCACGCAGTCGATATGTAACTTCTCTTGTTCCATAATATCATATAGATATATCTATAAAAGAAGAAACAGCAATAGCGTGTATTTTTGTGTGTCTGTTTATTTATATGAATCTTTCTTTGCCGAGGGATTTGTTGAATCGTTTCGGTGTTAGTGTGGAGAATTTTGATTCGATTTGGGACAGGGGACAATGGTCAGATTGCAACACATTGCAAGTTTGTATTCATCTCGCGCTCTTCGATGTCATAATCTATGACTGAAAGTACCATTAAATTCGATTGTTAAAATTCTGAAGGTTATAGAATTTCAAAATTATTTTACAGAAAATATAGTTTAGGAATTTTGATAAAGCTTCAAAAACAGTGCATAAATAATAAGATTTTAACTGTATACATATATATGTAGATATAGATAGATAGGTATAGATATATATGTGTGCGTATGTATGTATATTTACATATATATACACATTATCATTGATCAAGCAGTAATCAAAAAACAGAAATAATTAATTTCACATTTTTAAGTAGTAGTACAATAAATAATATGATACGATTTATATTTTGCTTCAAAACGTAATTGTATAACTCACTGATCTTCTCGACTTACGACCTTAAATCTCGTTCCGAACCTGCCGACTACCTAGTGCATGCGTATGTGTGTGCATATTTACACATATAATACACAAACACACACTTACATATATATACCATATGCCAAACTTTTTTAAATTTTGGTACTTCTGAAAATTGGGGACAACTTTAATTCAAGGCAGAAAAATTCATTGGATAGGGGAAATTGAACGCAATATTCTGACAGTTAAAAAGGTCCATGTGTGTATTTAAAAGCTTTTAATACTGATAAAATAACTTAATAGTAACACTCTTATTAGTCCTCATTTAATTTTTTAAAAAAAAATTTCGTAAATATCGAATATTAATAAATCATTTTACACTATTTTTTTAAAATTTCTTCCCATAAACAAGTTGAGAATTTGGCGTGCGGCTTAAAATCAATGTTGGCTTAGTTTCGAATATATATCACATATATAAAATCAGAAACTTTTGTGGGTGACTTAATAAAGGGATTGAAATTCCATCTACCGAAATGAAACATAACTACAAATATAGCCACCAGAAGTTCTATATTGTACAATTTGGGGTCCACGGAGCCCTGGGGCTCTATGAGGCATACCCACAGGTTCCGCGAGACAAAATAAATATTCGAAAAGAGAATTATAAACGCGTAAATATATTCACATTCTCTATCAAAGTAAGACACCTGGAGCAAAAGTTTATGTTACTGCAAATTACAATAATATTACATAAAAAATTTTTAATAGTAAACACGAGTACAATACTTTATTCTAACTGTCTTTGCGTAAATAACTATAACATGTGATGTACTTTAAATATTCTATTGAAGTACAGGTTGATTCGCTACCAGACCTACAAACTTGTAGTATATGTAAGAGGTACACAGACGACCCGGAATCACATAAGGTCGTAAATACCGTAGTAACGAGCTATGGAGTAAAAAAGTAGAGAAAAATAACATAATCACATTATTGGGACGGAAAACATTTTATTGAAAGTTTGTGTTGCTACAGGTGTTCAAAATTACGATCAGAAATCGTCTGGCAGGCAGTTCTTTGATCACTTTCAAATTAATTTAAAATGGCCTCAATTTCATTTGAACGTTCAATTAATACTCACAACTGCCGAATTTGGGAGCTTCAAACATCCGCATTCAATGATATACGATCCATGCTCTTCGTTGACAGTGACGTTAGGAGTGGAATTTCAGCATCATTTTTCATGGGTGACAGTGGCGCACACCAGAGAGGGGTCAACGGGTCCGTACCCTTCCCCCCTTCATAACCATTGATTTCTTTTTTTTTATCGATTGATGATAATCCTATGTATATATAGTACGTAAAATTTAATTATTTATTATTACCACAAATTATTTTATTGATTAATGCTAATTATTAATTCAATAATTTACTTTTTACTGTTTTCGTTCCTAAAATCAACAAAACCAACAGAATATGTTGGGCTGCGTATTGAGGTATGATACGAGAATGATAGACTTTCGACCCTGTAGCCCCCTTTTTGAAAATTTTTTGTGTGCGCCACTGATGAGTGATATCCATAGCAGTTAGAGAACAATATTATTCTAGCTCTACAAACACATGTCAGTACTTTGATCATACAATACGATGAAGCTTCTCCACAGAAAATGCACAATGGATTAAGGTTATTCTAAAAAGATATTTGGCCGAAAAACATGTCAGTCTGCCCTTTCCTAACGTGTGAATTCCTTTTCCTTGATCCCCTCCCCAAACGCAAACCATGCAATTTCGGTAGCTTCACTTCCAAATGGATTTCCAGTTAAGCATCCAATTATTTTTCGCGGGGAGTCTGATGTAAATGCTCAACAACTCGGTTTCTCAAGACAAAGTGCCCAAAATGAGATAACTTCCCCACATAAATCGTGATAAACTGGACAATATTCTCGGGAGAAATTCTACAGACTCCAACATCAAATACCACCCCATGTAGGATGACAAGGAATCAATGGCTGAATGGGGATTTCGACCATGTCCAATGGATGAGATTCTTAGTTACATGTTTTCAATGAAGGTGTGACTTAGCAGAGTTTTCGTCAGAAAGTGAAAATAGTAACTTTTAAAAACTAGTCTTTCACACATTTTTAGATATATACATTAATTAAACATCATTTTTAAATTTAGTAAACAATGAAATTGCTTTAATGGCAAATTGTTCATTTGACGGTACTTAAACGATATATAAAAAGTTAACTTACAGAGCAGAGTACCCAATTATTCTATATAAGATATAGGTAAAGTATGAAATAATTAATCTACTATGCAATTTAATAAATTTGTTGAATAAGTTTATAAATCTGTCAAGGAACCAAGTTCTTACCTTGTGTAGTGCATAAGTTTGGAGAGTGGTTGGTCTACTTGCCAAGGAATCATAATCAATATTTGAACCGCATTTAAAATTACGAGTTTCGTCGAAAATATTCCTATCACAACTTCGAAATGTAACGTTTGTAAAAATAAAAAATTAAATAATGAATGATCTCTATGGTTATTAGGATAAATTTCGTTACAATCTAGGGAAAAAATCGAGGATTTTTTTTTTAATTTATTTTTATTTTCCTATTAAGTAATATCACCTGACATCACGAGCAAACTTTAAAAAATTGTAAAAACTTTGGAAACTAAGAAGGTCTTTAGACATTATCATATTTTAGTATGGAGCAAAATCCTAACGACTATCATCACACTTAATAAAATTTATTAGAGATCATAAAAAGATCTTAATTATTGGTATATAATATTTTTGATAAATTTGCAAAATTTCAAATATATCTAATTAAACTCGTTAAATCCAGA